TTTTGGAAGTAGGTAGCGTTCGCTAAATTTCGATGACGTAATATGATTTTATGATCATGCTTCGATATACGTAATTTTGGATGTATTATTACCAAAACCAATTAATAACTGTACTAGACGAAGTGGCGTAGTGTTCTAACGGTCCGACTATAATGTACTTACGCGGCACTTGCGGCACTACTCAGTTTTGTTTTTTGTTTTTATTACATGTTTAATTTACAATCTATTCATGAAGATAATAAGTAAAGGGAATCAAAACGAGAAAAATAGCAGGTGTTGTGCGTCTAATGGTGCGTTCCTGCAATAGGAACAATTTAACACTGTAATGTTTAAATAGATGACTAGAAACTGTATAAACCTAAAAACTTCCGGAAAATAAATGAAGGAACCAATATTTAATATAAACCCTTTTCAATCTCCTTATTTCCTTGGATCCGTCCAGGAGAGATATTGCGAAGCAATAATAGTTTGCAATAAGAAAAAATTTTTTATTTATTGATTTTGGGGTATATTTGTTTTCTCAAAATGTTTGCAGCATCCAGAACAAAAATTGAACTGTGTGGCCGATTTAATCCATTTTTCTATAGATACCATAGCATCGTCTGCGGAATATAAGCGCAACCTTTTATAGGTTTATCCACTATAGTTTATAAGTAATAAGCAAAATAATCAATTTTGTTTCTTTAAAAAACGAAGGTATTCTTTTTTTTTATTTTACGTGGTACTGTAGCCGGTTTAGCCCAAGTTAAATACTAGCTTGCATGCAAGAACGTCAAATGTTTCTGCCGAATTTGAAACCAATAGGCTCATTTTGACGGAGAAGGGGCACTACGTGGACAAACAGACAGACAGATGGATAAAAGTTGATGTTGATCACGAATATATAATTAAAAACTTTTGTCGGCTCTCTAAAGTTTGCGAACGTTTCAACGAATGGATATGGAGCCAAACTTCGTGGACAGGATATAATAAGTGCATAAGTAACACCCGGCAATGTTGAAATCAGTTTTTTTTGGTATATAAGAACAAAACTTTCCACAATCGTCCATTTTTTTCAACTTTACAACCAAATTGATCAATTTGGTGGCACTGCTTGTATAGCCGAAAAAATCGTTTGGAAGCCTTATTAGGGATATAATCGAGATGGACAAACGCAGCCCTTTTTTTCTATGGGTTTCGAAAAACATAGTTCTTTACATGAAATATGACTCATTTTTTTACAGAAAAGTATTATGGCTTCTAAAAGAACACCTGTGGAGCTGCATTTGGTTGAACTTATACTCAACAAATTTCTATGCATTACACTGATTAGCGTCTGTCGTTCCATTTGTTTATCTCTGGTCATTTTTCTGTCGTTGTCAAAATTCTTAATATTCAACGACTTAAATCTGGCGTAACTCAATAAGGTAAATATAACAAGGTATACGATATGTTAAGCAAGCTTTTAAGGACTAAAATTTGAATCAGAACCTAAAAAGAAGTAAAATACCCAATCGTTCTCAAATCGAAGGCACCGCGCTCATATTTATAAGGGAATAAACAAAGATAAATTTTAAACTAGTATAATATTTAACCACACATAATTACCTCTCGTATGCTAATGGTTGTAAACGAGAACTTCCGTAGATGTTACTAGACCCAAAATACTATAAACAAAGAGAACAATTGTGGAACTAAAGTGTTTATTTACTTCTCTGGTTTCAATACGAGAAGTTTATCGAACTTCAATCTTCAATTTTGTACTCTTAAGAACCTAATTGGAAGAAGTAACGTATGCCAATTAGTTAGCAACATTTTATTATTTCTAGTTACTGTTACATAAATTGGGATATGTGAAAATCTTCAATCGAAAGTGCATGTTCATATTCATAATAAAAAGCAAGCAAATATCTATAAACGTCTCAAAATAATTGATTAGCCAATGGTAAAGCTCTGAGCTATTCCTGAGGTCTTGGGTTTATAAATAGATCTCAATGGCAATAGGAGCAAAAAGCCACTTCCAAGTCGAAACCAAACATTTTCAAGACGCTACTTGGCTTGCAAATATACGCCTCCACTAGTAGCGTACATTCGACCATAAATGCTATGTATTCGAAATTTGTCTCTTAGAGATGCATGTGAAAGGTATCGGCCGCCTTTTTTTCTAAATTTAACCATAACTGTGGCGAGCCATTGCACAAAATTACTACACAATCTTTCCCTCAAGCCGCTGAAAACATGTTGATTTTTGAATAAATTTTACGCCAAACAATTTTCTTTTTTGAAATTTAGCCTTTTTCCCTAAGCTCCCCAATGACAGCTTGCATCAAATATATCCCAATTGAGTAGCACTCTAATGATTTGCTTGTGAATTTCTAACTTCTCTGGTACACAAATAGATCTCTTTACAAGGAATTTATCATTTCAAAGCATTTCGAAGCTAAATTTCGTTAGTGTACCATTCTCGAGACGATCGTTGAATGGATATGAGAATGAGAGCGTTCTGGAAAAAATCCATCCAGATTTTTCCCAAGAAATCCGAAGTGCTTAATGACGATTTTGATGTTGAATCACAAATTCAACTATAGAGCGATTCTTTTCTTCTCCCCTTCTCGTCCTTTGATAGACGCAGCAAAAACGAATTAGAAGAAATATTTAAACGAGCTAACCAGTCTTTTATATTCCTTGTACTTTACGAAAACTGTAGCGTTGTGTATTTTAGCGCCTAGGAGTTTACCTTACTTCTCTTTGAAAAAATTTTTTATTAAGCAGCGAACTCTGCTTACAAAAGAGAATCTTAGCGAGTTGGCTCAAGAGATGTACTTCAGTTTCAAGTTCATTCGAAATATTTTGTCTGAATTAACTTTTGAGTACAATACCGCATAGCCAAATAGCTAAGAACTGCGACTATCAAGTCGATATATACCCGGTTTCAATTCACAGTATGATAGACCATAGTCTAACTATAATCGGTGGGGGGCATGGATGTAATGGGCGGTGGGGCCCTTTCTTCAACGACAATCCCATAAATTTTTTTTATTTCCTTAAACGATTCCGGACTTTTGATGCACGAAAAATATTGCCAAGTATTCCTAATCCTTTTGTGCTTTTGAAGATATAAGGCAAAATTTTCAATTTCGTATGTGTCGTCCATCTTGATAGGAGTTTCTTTCAAACGTCGGCATAAATACCGGTAACTACATATGTTTTAATACGTGTACGAGCCGTAAAACAAACGCACTCACCACCCTGTAATACGTGACCATATAAGACGGAATCGTGTAACACCATGGAAAAATTGCAACTGTGTTTCTATAATACGAGAATGAAGAATGAGCCAGATGTCACGATTTTTATAATTTATAAATTTTTATATATATCTGGTGAAAAAGCACATTTATTATCCAATGATCATAAAAAATGAATTTATATAACCTAAGTGACGAATTTATTTAACACAGAATTAATGTGTAGGGGCGTCCAATGTACAGCTAAAAGTGTTGTAATCGAGCAGATTTGAAATATAAGATTGAAAGTAGTGAAAACACTATAGTGGAATACGAACCACCATTAAATTCCACTCTATAGTTATTCGCATAACGACTTGTCAAAAAAGTGATCTGATCGGAACTATTTGCAATAGCGTTTGTCCTTGTGACAAAACATGTTTATCGAAAAATCTCAAACTCTTGTTGAACATAAGCAAACAAGACAGCCAGAGGGACAGACAAGCTTTATCCGATCCTAAAAATGAGTTTAAATCAATCGTTATAGTAAGACGTGTGTCTAACTAAAGCCTTTCTTTGTGTTGCCTACGTCTTTGTACCAGAGTGGACTTGGGTATAAAAATAAAAAATAATACAAAAATTTTTTTTGGTCTACTTTAGTAACAGCACCTTTGAGTTATTAAATGCCAAAAATGCTTAAAACACTTATGCCTTCGTTACAGTTGTAGAGTAAGTGTGAAAAATTGCTAATAAATTAAAAATCGATTAAATTAAAATAATTAATTATCGAGCAAAACTGCGAAAGGAGAGAAAAAATTCTATTTCTTTTTTTTCGTAAACAATGAAAACCAGAGCAGTCAAGCCAAACGGAATCAGCTAAACCAGCCAAGCAGCCAGTGAGCTAGAGCAGCCAGCACAGCGTCAGAAGCTCATAATTCATGTAAATCATACACATAAACTGCAATATACTGCAATTCGATAGCCATATATTTTATAAAAATAAATCTTTTAGTGTTGCTGCAGTCATAACATAAAAAAGGAAAAGTAATTAAAAGCGAAATAAATTCAAAGAAAAAATAAAATAAAAAATTCGAAAGTGCTTTAAAATTATTAATAATGTGGTGAGAATGAAAAATGGACTCGCCTATGTAAGCGTACGTATCCATGCCTGCATGAATGTATGTAAAATGTGTAAATATAAACTATAAAAATGTAAATTAATGTAAATATAAAAATCATTAAAACAATTATATTTAAAAGAGCAATTATTACAATTATCACTATGAGTCGAAACACAGCGCCACACATGCTTACGATTGCTCACTTGAAACCCATATTTCCTCTCCTTAATTTAAGCATTCAATGAGAGAGACTTAAGCCTTAATTGTTGAAAAAAAAAATTTTTTTTTTTATTTAACATACATTTGTTGGTGTTTTCCCAGGTAATTATGGTTAATCAACTTAATTATGGTTGTAAGTTTGAAAAAAAAAAGTTTTGTTTTGTTTTTTTCGTTTTTAATGACATTACAGGCTATAAGGCAAACTGACGAGCTCTCTTTAAGCGGTTTATATCTTTCTTACTCTCTTATATTATCTCTCTTTTATTATCACTTAGTTAGCATAGAGCTATTTAAGTTGTGGGAAACCGGAAGTATATGCTTAAGAAATTAGTTTAATTATATTTATTTCCATTAAACAAAAAAAAAAAAAAACAAATAAATAATTTATCACATGTAGTGCTGTTTTGCAATTTTCAATTTTTTTTTTTTTTGTTTTATTTGCTAGTAGACTCACCTAATACATTGGCCCCAAGATTGTTCAGCATATTTGCCGAAAAGTTTCTTATCGATAATGTCGACAGTTTGTCGGTTTGATTGAAACTTGTTGTTGTACTGAAATCAATCGTTATACTAAGTTTTCTTCGCTAAGCGTTGATCACTTTTCTCTCCTCTACGTCTAGGATAAAACTTTTCTTTATTCTATTGGCAAATATTCTTGTCACAGGATCTCATAGATGTTTTTAAGTTGATCAATACGTTGCAACATAATCTGGAAAATAAATGAAATAGTTTTGAGTGCGATATTAAAGGCCACCATTTCTTTATAGAGCTCTTTTTAAAGGAGATTGATAAACTTTTGTTTTCGAGAAGTTTAAGGGCTTTTTACAACTTTCTCTTTCTTTGCATAGAGAAATTCAATCAAATTCAGTCAGTAATCGTAGAAGTATGATTACGTTCGGCGACTTTGCTTAATAGCGGCAAGCAAAGCCCGAAAATATTAGGTTGTTCGAAAAGTCATTTCGGTTTTTCCCTACGGTAGATTTAATTGCATTTCTCTGTAGCCAAGTTCACATTGAAAGCGCACTGTCTCCATATATATGATAGCTAATGCCGTAATCTTTAACTAGGAAATATTTTGTTTAATTCTGCGTAGAAATATTTGTTTGGGGATTTATCAAAGTGGAAACTTTTATTGGCGCGTATCCCTCATTGCCGTTTAAAACTTTCGCCATCTTCTTCTTCTAGTTTATGTGTATAATGGGTTACGTGTTGACCAAAAAAATGAGAACGATGGACATCAGGATTGAGGTTGTTTTTTTCGGATGAGCAACCGGGGAAACGCTTAAGCGAATGTGGTATATTCAAATGGCACCTTTCATAGCTCCGAATTTTTGAGCACCTGTAACAGTGCCAAAGTCCAAATAACAACAGAAAGTACCTTGACCCACTTATTATCCATTAATTTAGATCAGACTATGAATGCGTTTCATCGAAGCACTCAGTTCCTCAGTTTAATTTGGTCCATTTAAGCAGGTTAAGGTTGATTTACATCGTCGGTTAACAAGCACAATTTATTAAACGCTTACTTAAGTCCTATATACTTAATGAGTTTTACATGTCAATCGACTATATACACGAGATGGATCAAAAAACTACATTTCCTCATAAAAAGAAAATTCTCCACTGTTAATAAACTTATCAATGTATTAATAATAATTCATAAAAATTACAAAATTTCTGAAGGGGTTTTTAAATCTCTTTCGCCTTTTCATCACCTTCTTAAAATTCTGCTATTATTTAAATCGAACGATTGAAAGTTTAGTTCGCAAGCATTCAAAGGTCAAAGTATTCCAAAATTTAACTGCAAAATAATTAAGCATTAAAAGCGTTTTTGACTAATAATCAAAAATTCGAAATAATAATAAAGGACTTTACACTATCAGTTTTTGTCTGCATTAGTTCCCACTCATAAGTTTCGTTGTTACGTGTATGGGTTCTCAAATTTTTCTTCCCTATCCTACTTCATAGAGCTGGTCAAAATTAACATTCCTCATCAAAAAAAAAAAAAAAAAAAAAAAATTAAAAAAAAAACCATTGAACATTTTTGGAATCACTGAGGAGGCGACACAAAAATGTCAAAAATCATAAAAAAATCATCATTTATTTAACATTGCAGGTAATGTATATATATTTAATACTTAAACTTGGCTAGCCTAATAGGTGGAAACTTATCGAGAACCTAGGTCAAATAAAAAATATAAAAGAGAAAAATTTTTGTGACAATAAATGATCCTGTATCCAGCAAAAAAATGTTCAAGTTCGCTTAAAACTCGTAATTTTTATTCATAACTTGATTAATAAAAGGTAATTTTAAGAGGATGGCCGAAAACGCAAGGCTGGATAGGCTTTCCCTTTCACATTTTAACATTTTCGTAAATATGTGTAACAAGCTTTGGTTCAATTGCTCAAATAAGCCAACAAATTTAATTGGCTAATGCGGGCCTGTTTCTGAAAAAATTAAACTCAGTGCTTTACTTTGAAATTTCAAACCAATATCTGCTATAGATATCGAATGATACGCTTTATGAGCATCATCGTAAGCAAATTGCGCTCATTTTCAAGCTTGATATGTGCTCGTTAAACAATAGCTTGTACGCTATGTTTCAATTTTTGATCTCAGCTTCTGCGAACGTGGGTACGCCTAGAAAAAGCAGATAGAAAGAAGGATGCACAAGACTAAATCAATTCGGAATCTATCGTTTGATAAAAAGTTAGGATATACTTTACGGGATCTCTATTGCTACTTTTCGTGGATTGTGAACTGGAAAATTTTATGATCCTTTCGTAATCGGTATAAAATCCGAATCTATACCAGCAAAGGCTTCGGGGCCAGATTAGCACTTTCCAGTAAATTCAACACAACTGGTAACAGCCTACCGTCAATTCAAAGTCGTAAGTATCATTAAGGAATGAAGCAAATATCATTAATTTCTGGAGAGAAACTTAAGAGTCTTTCTTGTTGAAAGACAATCGCTAATAAACATTGGTGCACGAATCACCTAAAAAATTTTTAAGTGCAAAGGAGAGTATATGTGTGCAACCGAGATGAACACTACGCTTAAGTGAACTGCATGTGAAACTGCAAAAAAAGAAATTTTGCGTGAAACAAAAAGTCTTTGCACGGAGAGATGAAGTCACTCGCACTTGGCAAACAATTGCATTGACAAGTTCATTGAATATAATTGGAAATGATAAGCGACCTGTTACGGACTCATTTAGGGAAACCAAAACTAATTAAATCCAGTTTATGGAATTCAAAGCAACTTTTGCTTAAGAGAAACCTATTGCCAAGCTGTAAAGTGTGTGTTATTTAGTCTAAGAAAATATGTGGAGCGTATTAGAAATGCTGCTAATATTAAACTACGTGACAAAAATCAATCGAATTGATAAAATGAGTATATGAACATTATCCTCTTGAAGGATGGAGGTTGTTTAGACTGTTCTTTTTTATCCTAAAGGGTGGTCAAAGAGAGAATGAGTGAGAGTGATACGAGATTAAGAAAGCCATGCATAGGCATAAAAGCGCAATTAAGACTTACTTTAATATCGATGACTGTTTAATGGTCGGAATTAAATGAAAAATCCAGTGAAAACTGTCGATACGAATCAACAATAGTCCAAGTCCAACTCAGTTAAGCAGGCAGAGATGGTATACTAACACAGCGGATATAAAGTTGGAGCAGTTAATGGCAAAAGTTTAAATGTTCACGTCTAGCTTATACACAAACACACGTACGTATTTAGACACGCATATACTTATGTACATGGACGCACAAACACACACAAAACAATGCTTTAAAATTCATACAGAATCACTGTTGTCTAAAGAATGCTTATGCACTTACATATAAAGACACCTGTAAGTTATTCAAGCATAAGTAGTGATCTTTAATTTTTAATTAATTACTACAAATATTATTTAAATATTATTTAAAATTAATTGGCTTCGAATTTTTATATTTTTATTTACATATTTATTATTTTTTTTTTTATGTAAATTTTTTTCCATTTTGACCGGCTGTTCACGTTGTTGTAATCAAAATTGTTTTAAAACTATGTCTGAGTAAAGTTTGAACACCGCCGACGCGCACATTATTATCACAATGCAGTCAATATAGCATTTGATAACGACAAGTCAAACATTGAAATGTTTGGTCCGTTTTGCTACCAAAATCATAGTTTGGACGATGAAGAAGAAGCTCTCTAACGAACAACCATCATCTATTGTACTTTGTTCCCGTACTTGTATAAAAGTAGAGATGCAGTAGATACAGATTCCACCCTTTTGCTCATATACACTTGATGCTCAATGTGAATTGCTACTGTTGTTGTTGCTTTTCGTAATCGGAAATGCGCGAATATAATCTTTTTATGGTTTTTGGATAAGCATCGCTATTATTGACTTTTTTCCTTGTGCAGTAGAGTGCTACTTCGGCTGGTTGTGTTTTTCTTTTTCATTTTTTTAATATTTTTTTTTATTTTCTACTTCAACTAATCTTACCCGCCGACCGACCGACCACATGAATTTGCTCAATACGCTTGCTAGGTAAGAGTAAAAAAGACAAAACTTTCTATGGTTCTCTTTGACAGTTAAACAAGATGGCTTTAACTTCGTAAGGGTGGGGTTTTATCTCAAACATTCACCGCACATCAAGCATTAGCTTTTATTACAGCAGGTTGTTTTTGCTCTCTTTCGTGGATTTTGTTGCTTTGTGTGCGCGCTATTTATATTTGCATTCCATCGCGTTGTCTTACTCTCTTCTATCACTCTCCGGCATGCATAATTTATAATGTTACTGCTCACACGAAGGCGTGGTTATTGTGTCCTCTCTCTTTTTCTCTTGATTTCTCTGCACTTTTGATTCTTCTCTCTTCGTTATTGTGAACGATGTCTAGGCTTTGTATGCATGCATACATGCCAATGCATATAACCATCTATATGCACCAGTTCGTTTCAGTTTATTTTTGATTTTTATACACATATATCAAAACAAATTTACGCACACACATGTTTTATTTTGCATGCCTTTGAACACTCGTTCATTTTACAAAATTTTCTGTGTCTTCCGAAAAACTCGCTCTCTCTTAGTTGTTGTGCAAGAAGGAAAAATGAACGAAAGAAAAACAAACGTGTATGATCACAAAGAATGCAGTTTTTTAAGCAATTAGAAAGGAAAACTCTTATATCATATCTAGTTTGCTCTAAATCACACACGTGATTACATATATAGAAAATAAACACTTGTTCATATACGCACCAATAGCTATAGTCCGATTTAAAGATTTCGACTATTTATAACATTAGCGTAGATCTTTTCACGATATAACTGCTATATATTAGATTCACCATTTAAATTCAGGGTTCTATTAATTTTATCAAAAATCGCATAAAATGCATACATTCTTCATTCCCAATCACATTCGAATTCGATGTAGGCGTGTTTGTCCGTCCGTCTGTCTGTTTGTGTAACTGTTTGTTTGTCAACTATAGCACATGCAATGATAAATATTTCTAAGTACATTTACCGATCATGTTACATTATATATATATACATCAAAATTGGGCCACGCCCGCCTAATAGTATAGAGTACTGTAATCTTGTTTTTTTTGGCAGAACGACCGTATAGAATGGATATGTTCTTGATCATTATCAAATTCAGAGTTCATCTGCATAAGTCTGCGTGTTTACTCACCCGTCCATTATCTGGTTGCAAAAACAAAAGTATCGACCTCAAATCTGGCAAAAACATTGAAAGTTTTTTCGTGCAGGTTGGTATTAAAAACGGACCAAATCAGTTAGAGTACACGTTTGTAGTAAAATAGAGGCGAACGCCTCTGCGTTTAAAAGCATTGCCTCTTTTGCTTATTGCTCATCAGCGTAAAGCGTATACAGCGACAAAAATTTCTGCTCCGTATTCCTTACGTGGTCCTGAATTATTTATACAGTAATCCGAATAATCTTGGCCACACTCACTTGATATTGTAGAATATCGAAATCTCCTTTTTATTGGTTTGTTAAGTTTTTTCTCTTTTAGTAAATCATATTGAACCCCTCTTGAAAAAACTTTTTCAAGCCCAAATTTTCATGTAAGATGTTGAAAACGTTTTGTAGCAATAGTTCTTATATTCTCACAGGATGTCTTTCAAAATCTCATGTCATACTGATCATATATTTGTGAACCACTATCGACTTAACGTTAATAATATAACATATAACATAACATATCACGTGTTGATTAAATACGGCTTTCTGAAGGAAAAAAATCCATTCAAAGCAAGAGTTAGCTTGTGAAGCGTTTTGGAAAACCTTGTTTGTCGAAGACAACAATTTTTCACTGCGGATATTACAGCGTTTTGTGAAATACTTGATGTATCTCTCCGTAAAAACCGCATTAAAATGTACCTTAGGTTCAACGCTTCACGCTGGTAAGGAAATTGCTTTCTTATGTTTGCTTTTGTTGCATTCGCAATTGTGTAGTTAGGAAAATATAGGAGAAGGACAGAAGAAAGTTGAGCTTGCTATTAATATTCTTGTTTCTCTCATTAATCCGCCTGAGCAGCCGATAAGAATCGCGAAAGTGTACGCGGGTTCAAATCTCAGTGTGGTCATCATTGAGTGCTTAGACGGTAAAGCCTTAAGAGCTAATGATTGAGCTCGGTACTGCTAAAGTCTTTTTCTCTCCTTAGTTCTTTCCGCTCGACACCTTGTTACCCGTAAATTGACGTCCTCTGAGTAATTAGACATATTAACAAAAAAAAAAAAAAAACAAAAGGAAAATCAATGAAAGCGGTCTGCTGGCGTAAAGGCTATATATGTAGTCATACTCGCGTGCAATGTTGCGTTCGCATATGATACAAACAGTATCGCCAACCCGAATAATAATTGTATTTTTGTCGAGTCAATGTACGATCATCCACCAGAAAATAATTTCAGACAGCGGGCAAGTAAAAAGCACGATACCATTGTTTACAGGCCTTGAAAGGGAAATGATCATTTTTTTTTTGCTTCAAATAATTTATTTCAAAAACGCCTGCCTTCCAATCCAGCATAATAGCGTCCTGTGGGTGTTAAATATGTAAATATTTCTTCGAAAATTAATTTTGTTATATATGTGTCTAACTATATATATATATATATATATATATCATCAATCAATCTTTAACTATTTGGTTGGGATCTAAAATGAAAAATTCAAAGGTCCCTATCATGTATAGCTTGACATACGGTAGATGTATGTAGGTGTATTTATAGAGGCTTTATCTCTGGGTTATTGTTACTCAAACATAGTCGTTGGTTCTCCTTATTCAAAAATTGCTTTAACGAGTCTAAGTCTGTTCGCAACAAGCTTATTTAAATTGCAGTGTTCAGTATTTGTTGCTCGCAATTAAGACACTTTTACATAAAAACTTTTACTTCATCAATCTTCAGTTCAAGACAACATTCATTGCAAACGAAGGAAAATGCAATGTTTTCTTAACCAAAATTAAGTATATAAAGAAAGCTCGAAAGACGTATTGAAATTCACATGATTCACATGATGAATTAATTAAAGCAGTTTTCCATTTTTCATTTACAATTGTTGTCTTTTTGCCAACAAAATGTTGCAAGGATGTCTTGTCACCTTGACGATTATTTTAATTTCGTTTTCTTTAGATGTTTCCGCTTTCGGTTTATGTTTATTATGCTTTTTTTCCTAGGAGGGGAAAAACCGACTGACATATTGTTTCATGAATTTTTATTAAATTGTGCGAATGCAGATAAGCGTGCAACCACTTGACAGAATACGCGGCTGGAATACGCACTACAATCTCACATCATTCGCCTAAGAGCCATAAGGGTTCGGTCATATCACATATCGACCGAATGCAATTTTATTGCCAAACCTACACACCGTACAAAGTATCAACCCAACAGGTAAAATATGAAATATTTTCAACGACGAACATCATCTCTACTAACATAGCGCGTATTGGTTTAAATTAGTTCGCATCAAAGAACGTAATGCTGTCAGTGCTGTTTGCTTGAGTGCTTTTAACAACACGTAACACACAAAGTATTTCATTTGACCAAAGAAATTTTTTTTGTTTCTATAGTATTTATGTACAAGCGTCATTGCATATGTATGTACGTATGCGTACGCAATATTATTGTTAAAAAATTTTGTATCCTTTCTCTCGAAATTTTCACGTTAAACAACTTATATTTTAGGTGACAGAAAGAAAATTCAAAAAGAGAGAGGGAGAGAAAAAAAGGGGCTTCGCCAAGCCAAAATAATTTCGGTTATGCTACAACATTAATAATTTTTTATTATTTGTGTATTAATAATTTGTCACGCATAGATTGCGACTTGAAAGACATTTTGCGAAAACTTGATGTTTTAGTTTTAATTAAATGATGGATGATTGGGTTATTTTATCAAAATATGCAACCTATACCCTTAATCAGCCAACAATAAATTTGAATGTAGAAAAAAAAATCTATCAAATTTGCGTTAAATTTAAATATTAGGGCTTCGCATGTATCCTGATCATTTTTTCACTTGAAAAAGGCACTTATTGAGGAAAGCTGGTATAATATATATTAATCAAAATATTCTCCTTCGCTCTCCACAAGTTTTTCCCATCTATCTGGCAATATGGTGGTAATGTGTCGAAAGAACGATATTGGCTTGGCAGCGATCCAATGATCAACCGTTTTATGTTGGTTTGAACAAGTGGTAATAAGAACACGCTCTATCTGGTGAGTACGCTGGATGCGACAGAACTTTCCATTCGAGTTGCAACTGCGTATCCTGGATAACTCTTGCGATGTGTTACCCAACATGCTTGAAATTTCTAAGATAGAGCCTAAGACTAATAATTACCGTTTTCTTGTTATGTAATACGTTGTTACATCATAGACAGGAAAAAAACCTACTAAGGCGTAGGGGGACTCAACCTTTTGCTTTCATAACATATCGAAATAAATATCAAGGAAGCTGACAGAACGAGTTTTAGAGAATGTTAGAGGCTTCTGTTAGATTTTTGTTTACTTTTCCCTTAGAAAACCTGAAAAAAATTTCGGTTTTGACGTTAAACCAAGAAAGACTGGAAAACTGGGAAAAACGCTAAAGCACCGTCAGGCAGACGAACAGACTGACCTGCTTAAGTGAATTCAGAATTTGAAAAAGGCCGAGAAATTATATACTTTATGGAGTTTTTAAAGTTTGCTTCTGATTATTTTAAAGGTGGTGACTGTTATATTGGATACGCGAGGTCAACTTTTCTCATTTTTGCGGTGCTACAGCATCGCACATGGAATATATGTTTACGTTTACGTACGTTTTCTAGATGTATGTGATATAGTTTATGAGTAATGAGCAAAACAACCAATTTCTTATTCCTTTTGAAAAATGGAGGTGTTCTCAATTTACGGATACTGTAGACGTCTCCTTCAACCGATTTGGCCCTTTTTCAATGCCAACTTATAATTTTTCTGCTAAATTTTAAGTTGATAGCTCAATTTTTCCAGCCAAGAGACAGACATTACATAGACGGACCTCAAGAATACATATACTTCGTGGGAGCTTCTTTCTGGGCGGTGCAAACTTTTTGACAAATGCAATATGCTCCTAATCCTACGATTACGGGTGTAAAAGGAGAATTAACTAAAAGTTATTGTTTCTAGCGGATATTCATTTAGCCATACGGAGACAAGTTTTTGCCGGGGTCATCGTAAACTTCCATTTTTATTTTCCACTCAACGGATGGTAGACGATGAATGTTGCTTGCTTAAGCGTAACAGTGTTAATAATTTAAAAAAAAAAATTTGTTGTGGCTTCATAGATGCTTTGAGTTTTCTGGAATATGTAGAAAAAATTAAACCAACAACGCACCCAAATTGTTTTCCACAAAACTTTCCTTTACCCTTGTCCGGGGCACTATAAAAAGACTTTTTCCTCAAGATTTCGAACATGTCTCCAATTACCCCGGAAAGATTGCCAGGCAGTTGCCACATATTATCTTTTCTAGCTTCTCTAATACATTAACAAAAGACTCTAGTAAATATTTATGTGAATATTGAAGCAGTACGAAGTAAGAAAATGTTAGTGTAGCTAGTATCCATTCAGTAGATATATTTTATTATGTGAATAATCGGTCAGGGGAAGTCGTCTGCTATTGAGGCTTGAACCTGTGAACACGGGCCTAATAGTCGCGATTTTTACCTACTCGGCTACTAATACGCATTCAATATGTTTGGGGCTAAAACTTTCCGAAAGGTTCCAATGCTTCTGCCTAGAAATTAAAAGTTTTGGAGGTTTTCTGGAATCAAAACTTTTGCTTCTCTTTTTTCTGTCATTTGTAGCAGAGGAGGCCCTTTCGGCTAAAAAATCAAGCCGAGAAAAGATAATTGAAAAGAGCATTTGAACATGCAAGAGCTGGGTACGACGCTTGTATTGCAAGCCAACTCAAAAAAAAGAGGAAAGTTATTGCGATTCTAAAATTGTGAACACATTTTTGTAGAAAGATATCATCTTTTCCTTTCATTCTCATTTTTTACTATATCCTTAATACGACATTTTCTATGGCGGTGCGTAGCGAATTCTTGATAAGTTCATTTCAAAACATTTTGACAGGAAACATGCTCGTCAATCACAAGTAACTCGATATTTGTACCGCTATATCTGTGGACATGCAGATTTATTGCGTTTTTTTTTAAATCAAACTTCCAACAAAACAAACGTTAAAAATGCCTGGCGAGGATCTATAATAATTTCTATCTATGTCTATCTATAATAATTTCTTTTTTTAATTATCTCTTCGAATTTTATTTTTCTATTAAGTGGTGGTGTTACTCCTTAAGCCATCTTGCTCAGGAGTTCAATTTGAAGACTAAAGGGGGATTCATCATAAAAAGAAAGAGCAGGCTAGCAGAGTGTAAACGTTTCCTGCTCCGAAAAATTCGAAGACTGAAGTTTTTCTCTTTTACATAAGCAAAGATCCTTTCATTTTTTTTAGAAAAGGCTAAAAAGCGATTATTCTCTATGTTATGACACTTGTGGGAACGCAAATGACGTTTATATGAGAATTTGACTCCGACGCTTGCCATGGTGCTAACAATGTAGAAAAAATATATTTCTAATATTGGATATATCCGCGCATTTTAAATTGAATATTGGTCTTACTTTTTGTTTAAATCCGATTCTTCCTCAGTCAATAATTATACATTACTGTATAGAGGAATGCGAGTTGTGCCTATTATTGTAAACCTCAATCGAAGGTTTTCTATGAATAAAAGTGGGTTAACTCAGTTTTAAAAAAAAAAATTTAAATTAAAGTGTTATTATTAGTGACCAGTCAAAATATTACAACACGGCTCTAAGATTTGCTAAGAACAATGAAGACTTAATGGTTTTCCTTCACCAAAAAAAAAATTAACTTAGACAAAATTCTGAGTAAACGGTTCATATACCGAGATCAAACTAGCTATAGGACCAATACAAGATTGTAGTATGGAAAGTTGCAAACTTGGGAAATCACTTCCTCGGTTATATGTAGATAAAAATGAGATTCGAACTATGCTCAATAAATAATAATTACACTGCTGTCTCCTTTTAGATTGGCTGCACTTACTTTTACTTAGGTGCCTAGAAGAGGGAGGAATGTCGATTTGTTTTCCTACCAACGGAACCACCACAAGCGAAAGCTACAGCAACAACTGATGCAATTGGCACAAGTCATGATATCCTGAGTTCTCAGTACGAAGAAATATATGTAGTTATATTATATAACAATATTCGTTTGGTGAATACATGCAGCTCTCCGACAATACCAACTGTCGTTATGCCTTCTAGTTCACACGAGTTCCAATAAATGGCTTATTACTTATTCGAATGATTCGTTCATGCGTACGACGACCCGCTAACATGGGTTCATTTGTGTGTATCATCAAAAAACCAGCTGCCTGTCCCGCATCTAAATCGTATTCCATATAAAAGATGAGAAAAGTAGTGGCTATTGTTGGGCAACACATTGAACAAAGTTACTTCTAACATTTTATTATAATAAGGCCTCAATTTGACTAAAGAATCAACGGCGACCTTATTGGCTCACCTAATACGAATAGGTTTGCTTTATAAGTTCTCAAATTTATTAATTGGTTTCTTTTCTTAACAAAGTTTGAAGGCTAACACACTCCTTTATTTCTTTAATTTAATAAAATGCTACCGTAACGCTTCTATGCTCATCCTTAGTTAGCCAGCTAAGTATTTCGCCATCTTTGAAAAATCCGTATCTAAATTGCCTCGCAAAAATTTTACGATGACGAGTATACTCGTCAACTACAGAATAATATGAAGTTAGCTTGTAAGAAAAAGACTTTTATCTTCTAATTTCAGTATTCCGTACTTTCGTATTGGATTACTTTGGAAGTTGAAGTTACGTAATCCTAAATGTTTCCAACTTAGACAGGCAGAGTTAGGACTTCATTTCGACATGCCTTCCAAATATTTTAAACCTCTTGAAGTATGTATTTTAGTTTCCTTTAAAATTGCAATTTCAAGTTCAAATTGTCTCTACTTATTACTCGTTACGAATATAATCGTCACAACACAAACTTTTGTAGTTTTTTCATGGCGAGTATTCTCATCAAAAGCAGTTAAGTGATTAAAGACCAAATACTGCAAATCTTAACCCTTTTCATAAGAAAAATTGGTAAATTTGTTTTGAAAATATTTTACAAATACAAATTTAAAAAAAATTTTTTTTTAATAAATTTTCTCTATTAATTTATTAAAACATTTTGAAAATTTTTATTAAAGAAAAACAAATAGTACCTGTTCACATAAAATAGAGCCAATAGTCTTATGTTAGATGCCCGTACTCATTTTACTTTACTTTAAGAATTTCTTCCTGTTAAAAAGGTTTGAAGAAACATTTTGAAAAAGAATTTGAACCATTTTAGAAAGAGAAAGGGTTCGCTGTTAGTAAAAGATTGCGCATTCCAGAATGCAGATATCTCATAAGAATATATTCTTCTTTTTGGTTTTTTTTGTTCTTTCTTTAAATCCAAACATTTGTCAAAGTTGTGGTTCCCGAATAGATTTATGCGTGCAATCAGTCATAATTTGTGACAGTAACACCAACACAATCTCATACAGAAATGCAAACCAAACGAAGATGTATTACTTTCACTACGAGCAAAGGTAGAAAGGGAGAGAAGAAGATCTAATCAAGGCATCACAAGGCAGAGGAAAGAGAGAGAAGGGAATGGGGCCGATGCTTTAGAAATTATTAGCTATTATTTAAAAGGATAATGACTTATTATTGAAGAAAATCAACTTTTTATCATGATTTTTCGCAATTTTTTTTTCAATTTTCTATTTGAAGGGAGCAGAGAAAGCCATAGACGCAACGCAACGTTGTCTGAATGAGCAAAACAATCAAAAATACTGTACTTTACTGACGTCTGTGTTTTTGTTTGCAAATGTGTACAGTCGACGGCAGTCTATTTAAAGCAATTGCTAATGGCCATTGCTGCTATTAACTTGCAAAGCGAAGTGAAAATCTTTAGCGAGTTAATCCTTTTTTTTTTAGACAATGGTTAACGGCAGCTTGTTTTATTTATTACTATTTTTAGTTTTTAATTTATTCTTATTTTGTAGGGACAGGAAAAACACATTTTCGGTTTCAGTCGCGGGCTGACAAAAAGAAGAAAAACGACAAACGAAAATTCGAAAGATATAAAATATATTTAAGTAAACAATACAATATATACATATACTTGTGTCTAAGCACAAATACATAAGTGAATGTGTTTATGTATAGAGAACGGATGAATTTTATAGTGCACTTTCATGTATCGCATTATTCTTATTTAATGTTGTCGTATGACGCTGAAAGATATGCTAACCAAACCCGAGGCACATAAAAAGGAAGTAAGAAAGCTTTGTTCGCCTTCAAGCGTAGCTTCGGTAGCCATCATCTCAAGTGAATTTGGTAAATTTACTCAGAGGTTTGTTAATCAAACAATCAAAGACTTGCGTGCGCGCTTGTGTGCGCCAGGATTATTTTGGCCTTTAACTTTTCCAAGACTTGATTAGGCTTATAAGATGTAATTGTCTCTTTGTTATAGTTATATTTTTGGGTCAGATCACGGTCATCTTTCAAATCATTTTCTGGCTCTCATCTACAGAACTCTTGAAGAAAATTTTGGCTCTATGTCGGACAGACAGATGTATGGTTCTATCATCCAAATTGCATGCTCTCTGATCCTTACATCTCCGTATTATAAACAGAATGACAAATTCAGTATATCCGTTTTCTTCCGCGACGAACATAAAAACATAAAAAAGAAATAGTATAAGAGTAACAACTAGCCAACTAAACAAGACAGACTCACAACAGCAGCTCAACAGTTTACAACAATGCCGCTGTGTGGCATTCACTCACTTTAACACAAACACAAATGCAATTCCACTTCGTACAGAGTGACGTTGATGGGCAGAGAATAAAAACTGAAAGAAGGAGAAAAAAAAATGAATAAAAACTTTTCGGATATCTTAAAAAAATTAAATGTTTTTTTTGACAAACCAAAAAAATTTGAAAAAAGTTAATTATTTTTCTTTCCCTAAAATTTCTTAACAAGTAAATCTCTTTTTTTCTACTCAGTCCCCATTTTGAAAACCTAATGTTTTCTTTTCTTCTTTGTTTCGAGATTAATAATATTTTTTATAAAAATTTCTTTCGTAACGTCTTGCTTAAATAAATATATTTATAAAAATATCACTGTTAACCAGTTGAAGATATTATTTTGCGTTCGTTTACCTACTCACTTGTTTGGCTTACAATCTTTTTAAAAGCGAAGTTTGCATGCAAATCCTTTTCAGCAGCTTAACGTAAATGCTGGCAAATCTTCTGCTGTTGATTTATGTTTCGTTTCAAGCTTATTAAATGTTTCAGTTTTTCATTTATTACAACGACATCAACAACAACAACAAAAACGCAAGTAATAACAGTAACGTTTCGTGGCATTTTTTGCCCAAAAGCACGTTTCAACGCCAGAAAAACCATTGGATTCGAAGCATTCGCTCGCACTGACACAATCACACACGTGAACGAGCATTTTTATTTTTAAAGGCAAATAAAGGCAAACAAAAGAAACCAATGACAACAAATAGTGAGTGGTCTTGTTGAAGATACGTAAAAAGTTATTTATACATATATACAGATATCTGTGGCTGCATACGAATTTGTAAATAATGTTGAGTTCAAAAAATATAGGGAATTCAAATGTAAAACGCATTTATGTCTGCATCGAAACTTGTTTCCTCTCCTTCAAAACATTCCCGCTTCACATGAGCACACCAGTACGATTGCTTTTCCCCGTTCTCGGAATATTTCAGTAAACTCGCATTGAAACGATTACAAGAAACCCGTTCTTTTAACTGGGGACGCCATATCAGGCGAGTAGAGCGCCCGTAGAAGAACAAATGTTTGAGTTCTGCTCAATAAATGATGAAGTTAGGGAATGTTACAAAGCGAGTCTTCTATGAATAGGCGCGACGCTGAAGGAAACTTTCACGTTGGCCAAACAAAATAGTCAATGGTCTTTGATTTTTTACACGTTTCGCTTGTTCAGGTTCGGTTCATTTTTAGCGCGATATTCATCAAACTGCTAAGGTGTATAATCCATGACTCATCAGAAATTGTGACTGCTTAGACGGTAAAGGCGTAATATCTCATCAATTGGACCCACATACCCTAAGCTGCAGCCATCACATCTCTATCTTTTCCTCTTTTGTCACTTCTCTCAAACGTTGGCAGTGTCGCCCAAATTCTTGCGTGACTCAAGTTGATGGATCATTTTTAAGTTTTTTGGTATCACAGTTCTAAACCTGTTTACTATGCTGTTGTTTCTTCAGTATACGTGTCATTTTCAACATATATGTGGATATAATTGCATTTATGCAATCTCTTCAATACCTCAATAATAATTGTATTTAATTTGAAAATTCCTTTAAAAAAATTTCCAATAATCACGAGAGACGATGTACTTTTTGAAGTAATGAAAAAACTGGCAGGAAGCTTTTGTCAGATTTTCACATTTTACCTTTTTACGTCGAATATTATCGTAATGAAGCTAACAAAAATTGCGTTCGTATTGTGGATCAACTATGCTTCTCGCATTGTACTCCCGAAGTTCTTTTATTTGATACCCATATCACTGGTATTATTAAGAAAAAAGTAGCCGCGGCGTCTGCCATATTCATTTTAGAATTAACCCCCTTTTAAGCAGATAATATACCTTTATTTGAGAAGTGTGCAAGGTAGTTTTAAACATTACAGTGGTGAGTATGAAAAATGTTGGTTTTTTTTAATATGAAAATTCCCCTTATTTTTCGAACACACTATACGTACCTACACAGTAGCCCTACTTGTCTCGTATCTCTTCAATAAACAAAGCAAAAAAGGGAAAATAACGCATTTGCAACCAAATGAACTTAAGTTAAAGAAGAAAAGTTTAAAAGTCTAAAAACGTTACATTTTTCTGACTTTGAAAGGGACAAGAGTTAATCACTTAAAGCAAAACAGAACGGAAAATTTTTTCATCAGATGCATTCCTTGCGTTCAGGTGAAATGAGAACAAGGAAAAAATAATAAAAATGTTGTATTGCTTTT